GAAAATTTTCAAAGCCTAGTCAATAAAGTGGTTAGGCTAGAAAATGATCGTAGAATGGTCGAAGGACTTCGTAAGAGAAGAATGAATTTACAACGACAATCACCAACTAGGGGTTCACTACAAGTTCGGAGGCCTTATCTATTTAAGCCATCTTTACCCAATGCAAGACCAGGCATGCCACCAATACTACCAAGACCTGGATTAAAAATGGAAGACTCTCCATGTTATGTTTGTGGGAAAATTGGACATTTTGCAAGACTTTGCCCTAATCGTCAAAATATGGGTGGCCAAACTTCTTATCAGAAACCATCTGCTACAGGTTTTATAAAGAAAAATCCTCCAATTATTAAGAGTGGACCTAATCTTGGACGTGGTCAAGTACATCATATTAAAGCAGAAGAAGCGCAACAAGATCCTAATATATTGATGGGTATGTTCACCATAAACTCTAAACCAGTTACTGTTTTATTTGATTCTGGTGCCTCTCATTCCTTTTTATCTGCAAAAGCCAGTTGAAATCAGTCTTTACCTAAAGATAATTTAGATAAAGCTATGCTAATACATTCACCTGGAGGAACTGTATTAGTATCATCTATTTGTAGAAATGTTCCGATTAAATTAGGAGATCAAGTATTTTTAATCGATTTGATGATACTACCTACCCAAACCATAGATATTATTCTGGGAATGAGGCGTGTGGCCACCTGGAAGTAACAAGGATACAATTCCCGATGATGCAACAGTCAATGCTATCTTGCCTTGCCTTCTTATAGAATCGTGCGCGAGGGATGGGGGAAGCAGCATGGCGAGGGGGAGGCGACCGCGACCACGTCTTCGGTCATTTCATTGTTTGAAAAGTAAAGACTGAATTTCAATGTAAAAATGTCAGGATAGACAAATTCGGTCTCGGTCTCGGTCCTGACCGAAATTCAACAACATTTTCATATTTGCAAAGAAATAATGGAAATTTTCAACACAAAAATCACCAAAAAAAATCGTGAACACGTAGAAGTAAAGACTCTTATTATGTTGCATGCCTAGAAGAAGTAGGGAAGTGAAAATTAGAGTTTAATCCTATTGAACTTAGTGGATTGTAGATTGCATTTAGACATTTTTTTAATTCGGTCATTTGGTCTATTCGATTAACCGAGTAAACTAAGTGAATTTTGACCGAACAAAATTTGGTCTTTCATTACATAGGACCAAATTAATGATTGAATTTCTCAGTGTCGGTTTTTTCGGTTCGGTCTTTTTCTACCTACCCTACCAGCGGCGGCGGCTGTGAGTGATGCGATCCAGATGGGGAAGGAGAAAAAACCCTAGAAAGAGACATGGGCTGACTCGTGTGCGCCGCTCAGATCAGATCGAATGGTTGAGGATTAGACAGTGACGTGGCTTAGTTCCTAAGAGCAGGTATAAGCCACCTATAACCACGTATCGAGAAGAAAAAATAAGAGAGAGAAAAAAGCGGGCTGCAGATTTGTAGCCAGCTGTAGCACGGACTTCAATACATTACGTGTGTATGGGACCGGGTATTAATAGTGTAGTATATTTTTATAGTTAACTATTGTATGAATGGGCTATTAGATTAGGCCAGTCCCAACCCAAGACACTAGACATAGTTTCTATAAACTCCACATCATTAAGAAACTAGTACTAGACACTACTCTTTCATCAATGCAAACACCACTCTTCCATACTTAAATTTAATGCTACTTATCTCACATGATGTCTTGTATGTTGTGTAGAAACCATGTCTTATGCAAGACCTGATTTCCTTCGCTTTCCTCATTTATTCATTTACCACATCATCTTTCATCTTAGGTGGTAGTTTATTTAATGCTATGGACACCATCCTAATCATTGGGTTGGGGTTGGGAATGGCCTTAGAGCAAGTTTAATAGTATAGCCAACTACTAGCTCCAATTCATATATATCCAATCTAATAGCTTATTCATACAATAGTTACACACTACACTATTAATACATGGTCCCACCTGTCATACACACACTTCATCTTTGCAGTTCGTGCTACAGCTGGCTACAAATCTGTAGCCCGCTGCTTCTCTCTCTCCTCATTTATTTTCTTAAAATATGTTTACAGCTAGCTTATAGCCTGCTATTGTACCTGCTCTTAGCTATAGATGATTTGGAGCCAGTAGTTGGCTATACTATTAAACTTGCTCTAATAGGGATCCAGGCGATTAAATTACTAATGGCGATCCCGGCGATTAAGGCCCTGTTTGTTTCAGCTTAAGATTATTGTAATCTAGATTATAGAACTAGATTACTATAAGCTGGATTATAATAAGCCAACATAGAATAAGTTGCTAGCTGTTTGTTTCTCTGGATTATTATCTGTTTGTTAGTTGTTAGCCACCCAATAATCTAAAAAAACACATTTATAGTGGCTTACCAGATTATATTAATCTGGCTTATCTATAACTAATATAAATATTCGTATTTTTCCGGTCGTCACCTCATAGGTGCAGTGATTTTTCGTCCCCCTCGCCTCCCCCCAAATCCCAGTTGGAATTCCATCACCACCACCCAAAAAAAAATCCTAATCGGAATTCAATCAATCACACAAATAAAATAAAATCGGAGGAAGTATTATACACACAAATATATCCAAAAAAAAATCGAAGGGGAAGTCGCCGTCGAACCGCCGCCGTTGTCATAGGGACGCCAGGCCGCCGCAGCTCCCCTCCCGCTGGATCCGACAGAGGGGAGGGGCGCCACCGCCGTTGGGATGCTGGCGAGCCGCCGACGCCTCCCCGGGCGCCGCCGCCGGTGGTGGGGGAGGACGTCGCCGCGCTGCCGGTGGTGAGGGAGGACACGGCCGCACCGCCGGTGATGGGGGAGCCGTCGTCGCCGCTGGCGGGGGGAGGGCACCGCCGCTGCCGCTTGGGCTCGGTGAGAGAGGCGCCGTCGCCGCCGCCGCTGCTCGAGGGGAGGGCGCCGCCGCCGCCGCTTGGGCTCGGGGGGAGAGGCGCCACCGCCGCCGCAGTCGCCACCGCTCGCGGGAGGAGGGGCGCCGTCGCCGCTGCTCGTGGGGTACCACCGCCGCCGCCGCTCAGAGGCGCTGAGGGGAGGGCGGCGAAGAGAGAGATAGGTGGGAAGGAAATGGGCTAGGGTTTCTGATGCGAACCCGCTAGGGTTTGTGGCCCGATCTTTCGATGAGAGGTAAGGGATAACTCGATTAGATGAAGTCGACGTTCACGGCCCGACTACAACTGTCCAAAGACGCTGCGCCTTAGCAACCGATACACCGTCTCCAATGGTCGCCGCGAACTTGTGGTGCGCGTCAACCCGGCCACGAGGGCACTCGTCCTGCAAGCAATCGAAGAACAAGCAAGAACAAGTAGGACAAGCGCTGAGATTGCTAGATAAAGATGAAAGTTTCACTATCAAACACAATATGGTGGGGTTCCGATTACAGGCAGACGGGCGGTTTAGCCAACACGCGCGCTGCGAGCCGGTAGCAAGAAGCTATCTCTATCATCAAAACCTGCCTGTTCTTGGCGGCGACTAGAGGTATAAAAAGAGGGGAAGAACGACCATAGGGTCGTGCTCCAACCCTAGGACGCGCCCCTAATGGGCCCAACATGGATACACAGCCCATTGGGCCAAAAGAGGTGACGCAGCACCATGGACAAAAAATAGTCGGGAGTAAAATGACAATTGCGGCCGCTCCAGAACAGATATGGACATGTGGCTGGATCCATTTGAAAATAGACTTGATAAGCTTTCCATGAAGTACTTGCACGCCCAAATCGGAGTTCGCATGAAGTCGTGGCGGCCGTCAGAAGTTGGCGCTGCCCTGCAGTCCGAATCCACCCCGCGCGAATCCTCTTCCCTTTGGATCCTCTCCATCGTTCCTGAGTAAAACACGAGTGCACGCGTCTCCGAGGTATAAAGACGAGGAATATGAACTCAAGAAAGAACTCACCTGATAATTTAGTTGACGTGCACGAACGTGGGTAATAGGACCATCATGCTGTATATGGGGGGACGTGGATGTATCGATGGTGTTGATGTCCTCATCAGTTTCGGCGGCTGAGGGGGTTTTGTTTCCCCGATCTCGAGGCTTGGCCGTCCGATCAAAACCCTAGAGATCGGACGGACAGCGTCGACCGGGCCGATTTCGGCCCGAAATGGGATCGAGAGCGAGGCCACTTTTCCGGCCCAAGCCAAGGTTGCGGCCTGGGGAGGGGAAGTGCACCCGCGCATGCGCAAAAGGCCGTGGGCCGACCGGCAAGGGTCTGGAAGAAGTCTATTTTAGGTCCCTCTAGCCGAAGAAAAAGAGAAGTAGTTCATTTTTAGTGCTTCTTTTTTTAGAAGCATTTACAATTATAGTTATTGAATGTGTTTATTTCGAATCAAACCTAAAAGAAAGGATTTTCTTTCTTTTTCCAATTAAACAATTTGTTAAATGATGTTTGTATTATTAAAATTAGCAATTAAGTTATGAAAATTCCAATAAAATTCTAAAGAGTGTGACTAATCATGGAGAATTTAATAAAATTAAATTTAACCATGTTATTTTATTTCTCGCATTTGCTTTACTTGTAAATTTATTTAATTATACACATACCTACTTAAAAATACCAAAAATTTCAACGAATTTGTATTTTAAATAATTGCATATTTTTTGATCTGTACGCTTCCCGTTGTAACGCACGGACACTTTTACTAGTATATTATATTAATCTATCATAATAAGCTATATGTTTGTTTCAACTTACTTCTAATAATCCAAATTATAATAATTCTAAGCTGAATCAATCAGAACCTAAATTCATTTCCTTGCTTGGTACGGAGTATAAACCTCGATATTAGCGGGGCTCATAAATTATTTTCCTGGTTATTACTTATTAGCGCCTAACGCTTCGGATAATGGAGCGTCGTAAATTATTTTTTCTGATTATTAGCGCTTATTAAGAAACCCTAATAGATAGCTATAAAAACCCACTCTTCTCTCCCACCGTTCCAGCCGCCAGCGACCGTCCGCCAGGCTCATTCCCGACGATGCCGGAGCGCTTCGATCCTGCCGGCCGCCGGCGCAGGGGCATTCTCCCGCCGCCCGTCGGCGCAGGGGCATCGACGGGCCTCCGACGCCGGCCTCCTGACGTCCATATCGCCGGCACAGGCGCATCGGCGGAACGGTCGGAGCCCGCGCTGTCGCCTCCTGACCGACAGATCGAGGTCCGACCGCCGGCGTCCGACGTCTCATCGGTGTGCCGGCACAGGCGCATCGACGGAACGGTCGGAGCCCGCGCCGTCGCCTCCTGACCGACATGGTAAAATAACATTATGGCCTTGTTTGTGATGCAAGCATGACACAATTTCTCATTGTTAGTTGATAAAGGGATTGAATTGAGGCGCTATAAATGTTAATTTCAATGTTCAATGATATACGACTTAATTAACTAGTTTTGTGGTATGAATAGGATAGATAGTCCCATTTTGTATGTTTTGTTAATCTTATTTATATATTTTTGTTTATATAGGTGGTCTTAACACTCCAGAAAATTGTGCTATAATTCAAGGTAGAGCTAACAGAAATTGTGCTATAATTCAAAGTAGAGCTAACAGAAGGGATGATATTCTAGACGAGATGGAAGTTGCTGCTTTAGCTTCTAGAATCAATTGGACAGGTATGCATTTTATATTGATGAAATTCTGGATGAGATGGAAGTTGCTGCTTTATCTTGTAGAATTAATTGGACAGGTATGCATTTTATATTGATGAAATCTGAACTAATTATAAATTTACATTTCATTATTTTTTTTGTTTATTTAGAGTATCAGTTAGCTTCAATTGAAGCTGCTGCGATTGGTAACATAATTAGGGATGGAAAGGTCATTGAAATTGCTCCAAACTCGAAAGGAGGACCTCTACAGGATGTGCTGAGAAGTTTGCTTGAAAAGTAAGTGTATTTACTAAACTTGTTTCATACATATTTAACAGAATAACAAATTTGTAGTGCTTTTTAGCTGATTTTTTTCTGCAGTTATATGATCACTATTCGTTGGTCACAGATTGCAATGTTGTTGATGTGTTATCCACTAACAATTGTGCTTTTGCTCATATTTATGTCCTCAGAAATGAATTGATGATAAATAAACTGTGTGATGAGGATGCTCCACTGGAAAGTACCGCTTCAAGGTAGTTATTTTTAGATCTACTGCATCTCATTTGATTTCGTGATGTTTTAAACATCAGCATTTGATGCAATTCTCCTTAGATATAGGAGATCCTTTACTGACTATTTTGTGATGATTTAAACATCTAGTGTCATTTTGTAGCTCTTCCTTTAAATTTTTCTCTCACCGCTGTGCAGGCCGCTCTCAGGCTTCTTTTTCAACACATTATGTAAGGAGCCTGGGTATCTCGCATTTGACACCATACGCTGCGGCAAGCTTCTTTACCCTGAGTCACGCTTTGCTGCATTACCAGAGCCCGTATCTTTCCTTGCATCCACGCGTGGCCTTGTCTGCGTCTGTGGAAAGACAACAGGCTTGTACTATGTAACCAACACGACCACCTTCAAGTGGGTTCAGCTACCACGCCACAGTTGTGATCATGGAGAACCAGCAGTTGTCATCACATTCGAGGAACCCCTGACATCCTGCTTCGACGGTGCTGTTGAGCATTATCATGTCGTCGCTGCCTTCCACCTCAAGGGCAGCGTCTGGACATCTGAGTCATACTCCTCCAGGACTGGGAGGTGGACTATTGCTAAAGATGCCCCTCCTGCTGTGGAGGTGAAGGCGGAGTCTGGTGTTGGTACACTGGGCTGCGCCTTCTGGCGCACTTCCCTTGGGTCTATCCTCTGCTATGACCCGGGGAAGGACCTCCTTAAAGTCATCCCTGCCCCTCGAGTGGTAAACCAAGATACCGTATGGGAGCTTGGGCAAATGGAGGGAGATCTTACTGTGACCTGCTTCAAGGATGTTGACGGTTTCCTCACATTGGGCGTGCTTAAAATAAACAAGCGACTGTTTGATGATAAGGTTGCTGCACTCTGGACAGTTGTCGGCTCATTCTCCGGGGAGAAGGTTGGCAAAAGGGCTATGTTGCTCCGCTCACAAGGCGCCGCAGAGGTCGTTGTCTGGGAACCCTTGGAGGAGCGCGTCGTCGCCATGGACCTTGAAGGCCTCGTTACTGGCAACTTTGGGCCCCTAACCAATGAAGGGTGTACTCCATGTTTTGTTCCTTACGTTCCATCGTCTGTGAGTATTTGAAGGACTGACGATGATCAGGAATAAACCAGATGTGATTAGCATACAATTGTATAGTATAAGAAATACACCTCCATGTTACGTTTTTGAGCTGGCTGGCAGGACCAACCCTACCTGATATGAGATTTTACCATGTTAGGTTTTTATGCTTGCTGGCAGGCCCAACCAACCTGACATGACATTTACCACGTTAGGTTTTTATGCTTGCTGCCAGGCCCAACCAACCTGACATTTCGGCTGGACTATGCATTCTTTTTTCTTGTCTTAACCCATTCATTCAGCACTTTTACTTGTTCTTCCATTCTTTCTGTAGGAGTACTTTTTACCATGTTCCTGTTGTTTTCTTTGCTTTTTCTGGAATAAACTACCCAGTAATTTTCTGTCATGTAATTGTAATTGTTTGCGTGCATGTCTTAATACGGCAAGCTAATCACATCTCGTCTCTGACAAGTTATGCTAGATCCTCCGTGGCAAAATTTGGGAGTTCAGTGTGTTCTTTTTTGTCAAAGTTCCTCACTCAATGTATGCTGGTTTATTATAACGGTCACGCGGAATAAGGTGTGTCTAGTTCGTTTGAAAAAAAAGTTAAAAGTTTACGTGTGTAGAAAAGTTTTGGATGTGATGTGATGTGATGAAAAGTTAGGGGCATTTGGGATGTAACTAAACACGGCCATAAGAATGACACTTCATAGGCAGTCCCCCTGCAACCCTCGAGAAAGGTGGCAAAGGGGCCTATAGCCAGGTAAAGAGCAAGTATAACTATTGGCTTCACCTAGCAGTCCACGTAATCATAGATCAATGTGTTAATTTATAAGCATTAAGCAGAAACATCGCAAGACCAAGTTTAGACACCGATTTGCCTTTCCAAGTTCCTGCCAACTGTAATAAAATAATTACTTTATTGCCTCATTTTCAGCACCAAAGTTAAATTCAGTAAAGTTAGATTCGATAAAGCGAAGTATATAAGAGCAGGTACAATAGCAGGCTATAAGCCAACTGCAAACATATTTTAAGAAGATAAATTAGGAGAGAGGAGAGCAGCGGGCAAACATATTTTAAGAAGATAAATTAGGAGAGAGGAGAGCAGCGGGCTACAGATTTGTAGCCAGCTGTAGCACGGACTCCAAAACGCAACGTGTCTATGACAGGTGGGACTAGGTATTAATAGTGTAGTATATAACTATTGTATGAATGAGCTATTAAATTGGCTATAGATAAATTGGAGCTAGTAGTTGGCTATATTATTGAACTTGCTCTAATGGCAAACATAACCTGGGGTATGCATTTTTTAAACACTGAAATACATGACACATGGATCAAGCTGTCAGTGAACATGCCTCTCATCAGAATAACTTTTAGGATATGGAGACATGCAAAAGTCTTAGATGCTGCAACATTACTCTTCAGTTTGCTGGAGTTATCAACTGTTTATTGCAGACAGTAAGAGAATAATAAGAGCTTAATTGTTCCAAACAAAAAAGAAAAAGAAAAACTTTTATTCATAAACTTGAAACTGACCTTCAAACTCTCCATGCACAGCAATAACGACCTGTCACCAGTAAAATAAACAGGAAATCCAATCTAGCGCACAATGGTCTGTTTCAGCAATTTTCAAGTTTTATATGATCTATATTTGCACCCACTTCACAAGTTGTTCTTGTGGCGGCAATTCAGTCTTTACTTAAAAACAAAATGAACCAAACAACAATGTGTTCATCTGAAGTCCAAACGGCCAGACTAAAATGGATTTACATCTCGATGAGGTCTACAAATCCACGGTCTCCAATCGCTCGTCCATCCGAGCTACGGTTCAAACAATCAACCTTTCAGTCCCTACTCAAAGCGCCCAGTCAATGCCAAGCACACATGTAGTAACATAGGCTAGCTCACCAATCCATGGTGTTTATATATACAATATGCCATACAAGGCAAATGGTTGCATCGAGAAAATAGTACAAGTACAACAGACCAGTTACTGACCATTTATACAACAGACCAATTAAAGTTGAGACTTAAGAGAGAGTATGCTCAAAGTTAATGCCTCTAACTATATTATTTGTTTTTGTTTTGTGGGCTTATTCTCCTATACTGGTTATGTTATTTTCTTTGTACACAAGCATATATATATATATATTCCTTCTTTTGGTCTATATGAATTGAATCTAGTTGATGTGCACAAATCTAGATCAGAAAGAATGTGTCTTGTTGTCCTGGATTATATGTTCGTTTATATATACAACTTGATGAAGTTCTTTACATTGCAAAAGAATCATAGGAAAGAGTCTGAACATTGAAGTTATTCAGGATATATTACAAAATTTTGTCTAGATTTCTGCATTTAACATGGTGCCTTGAGGCAGCGCAACTACTGTACATGTAACTAGAGATCAAGGCTGCGCACCTAGAGCTTGCTCATTGGGTTGCCAAACAATGCAAGCACCAAACAAGTAGGTTGCAAAAATATTTTCTAGATAAACTGAATTAACAGCCACATGATCAATCTAAGTAATTTTTCACATAGGTAGTTAACAGCCGTTCGTTTGTCCAATGTGCCAACTAATCCAAATAACAAATTTTAGTTCCATCACTGGATATATATTCAAGTAAGATTCATGTGTTATTAGTTAATAAAGGTCCTACCACTGGATATAATTGATATTGTATACATCAATGAACGAACAATGAGTAAATGATAACGGTTAAACTGTTGAATTTTTTGAGACATAACAATATATACTAACCTTTAGTTTCGTCATAATAAATGCTCAACAAATTAATGTGCACAAACAGCTGCATACATTACCAGAATCATCACACTTGATCTTGGTCTGCTAGAAAACTTGTGCTTGTAAACCAAAAAGGCTAAAAAAAAAAAAAGACACGCACACACTCCCATACGTGGAACCATATGCAAGATATCATGACCTCTTAGATAATTAAGTAGATGGTACACAAGCATAACTTAGGGTGTGTTTGAGGAGAAGGGGATTGAGGAGATTAGAAAGATACGTAAAACGAGGTAAGCCATTAACTCATGATTAATTGAGTATTAACTATTTTAAATTTTAAAAATGGATTAATATGATTTTTTAAAGCAACTTTCATATAGAAAATTTTTGCAAAAAACCACAACGTTTAGTAGTTTGGGAAGCGTGCGTGCGGAAAACGATGTGCATTCTCACTCCCTATCACCCAAACGAACGCATCCTTAGTAAGAAACACGGAACGTCAAAGGACTACTAGTTATTACAGTGAAGTGATTTGGGGAGCAAACTGCTCTTACTGCAGTAACATGTGGAGTGATGCAGGACACACCAGCGGCAGATGGTTTTCCATCAAAATTTCCGCCAATATTCAGTAAGTGGCTCCCCCCCATCGTCGTATTCGCCTAACTCTTTTTGTAGGTACCAAGAGTCGACAGGTAGTCCTAAATCCCTATCCTTTTTGGCGCGAGCTAATTCCTTTACGTCTTTATGAAGATACTGGTTCCAGCAATATGTTCTCTTTGCATTGAACTTGAATATACGGAAGCGGCGAACCATCTGAGCATGATCATACTTCCTGTTGTATGACTTGCAATAGCGCTCAAATAAGGCCCACACGGCTTCGTCCGACTCAAGGTCCTCTTTTGTCACGCACTTTCCATCATCTATATATCACAAACAAATCAACAATTTTGCAAACATTACATCAGTAAAAGTGCTCAAGAAAACAGTGAATTGTACGAATAGCATGCAACAATTGAATGAATTTAATACAGACCAGAGATGGATGTATTCCTCCTAAATCCTAATCCCCCTGCCTGCCTATCTAGACTATGCTAAATTGGAGAGCTGCACCATGAGGACAGGGAGGGATCAGGGAGGGATTGGTTATGATTTACCTGGAGGTTCACTGCTGTAGCGGAAGGAGAGGCGGGCAGCGTCGTCCAGTGGGGGACGAGGCTTCAAGCGGGCGGCGCGAGATGCGGCCGCCGCAGCTAAGCGGGCGGCGCGAGATGCGGCCGCCGCAGCTAAGCCGGCGGAGCGAGATGCGGCCGCCGCGTCATGGCGCGCCACCGCAGCTAAGCGGGCGGCGCGAGATGTGGCCGCCGCTTGACGGGCGACCGCCGTCACGAGCTTCGACGCCATTGTTAGGGTTCTTCGGTCGGGCTTTGTCTGTTGCACATCTCAAACAAAATATCGATGATAGTAGTGTGTATGCTGCGTTTTTCCCCCTTTTTTGAGTTTTTTTATGTTGAGTATTTTTGCAAAAAAAAACTCCTCGCTTTTCACGGAATATCGTATATATCCTCGAACCGACTGACACCCTGTTATGTTTTATTTGGAAAACCCCTCGGTTTGAATAGAAATACAATACAAATGCCAAGTTTAGTTCCAAACTATTTCTTTAAACTTTCAACTTTTCCATCACATCAAAACTTTTCTACACATAAACTTTCAACTTTTCCATAACATCGTTCCAATTTCAACCAAATTTACAATTTTAGCGTGAACTAAACACACCCGATGAAAAGAAAATTCTGTTTATAGGGGTAGTGCTATAAACATGAAAAAGACACGGGCTTTCATGAAAAGCAGTCATATCTACCTCAAAGGCCCAAGGGTTAATTGGATCCATGCCACTGCATATTAAAAAAATACCACTACTATTTGCGATATCGGCTATGTGCCACTGGAATTTGGGGAAATTGGAACTATGCCAATTCCGTCCAGTTTTTTGTCAACCTCCGTCATCTCTCTCCCTCTTCCTTTCTTCGGTTCAGGAGCAGAAAGCAAGCGCGCCGGGAGGAGGTTGGTAGCTGCAGCAACGAGTGTTGGGGATGGCGGTGCGGCGGTGGGCGGGGTGGCGACCGGCGCGGGGGCGATGGCCGGGGACCTCGCCCGGGGAGTGGGCGACGACGATACTGGCGCAGTCCTGCCCGCCGGCTCCGAGACGAGGCGCTCCATATTCAGCTGGGATGACAAGTTCGTCAAAGCGCAAGCATTGGTCACCAAGGCACTAAAACCTATCCTCCTTCTGATTCGTTCTTGTTCATGTGAATCCAAATTTCTGCTTAATTTGGATTGTGGATGTTAACATTATACAATTAATCTTGTATTCCTGCCGCTTTCCTCCAAGGGAAGCTCCCGGCCGATGGTAGTCACACCGAGATGAAGACCAACCTAGACCAGTTCATCTGCAACCTCATGCAGCACTCCGGCGGCAATCGAAAGATGGGGCAGAGAACGAAGATGTACACTCGATAAGAGCAATCGAAAACAACACATATCGTATTAATAGTTCATTCGCATAATTGCCTTAATCTGTTGGGTGTTTACACCTTGTTATACATTTTAATGTCCCATGACTACTATAAGGAGGTAAGTAGGTCTAGAGGTTGTGGGGTGACACGTGTCGTAGCTGAGTCGGTCGACCCACCCTGCCTAATGGGTAGATCCGCCCTTGACGTGACCCTGGCGTCCCTCGTCCTCGCTGTGCACGTCGACCACCTGATGGCGACGAGGGCGGCCTCGCTCCAGTGCGATGGCGGCGGCGGCCGCCGGCGCAGTTCACTGCGTCCGCTCGGTCACAGGTGGACTACATCCTCGGCGCTTGACGACGACGACGACGCAGGCGCAGCCGGACCTCCCTCATACGATGATGACGACACCTCCTGTTGCATCTACGGTGGAGGAGAGAGAGGAAGGGGAAAGAGAAGAGAGGGGAGGGATGTGGGGCCCACGTGCAGTTTGGGGCTAACGGGGATTTTTGATGGAAAATGTGATGTAGTGGCATGGTTCCAATTTTCCTAGATTTCAGTAGTACGTAGCCGATATGACGAATAAGAGTGGCATTATTTTGATATGCCATATTTGCACTTTTGCAGTGGCATGGATCCAATTAACCAAGGCCCAAACCCTACCCGGCCGTCTCCCCATCTCCTCCCCACCGCGCCCCGCACCGGCGGCGGGGACCTGTCTCCGCCGTTCGTCCTCCCCACGATGCCGTCGTCCGCTCTCCCCCCGCCGCCACCTTCCGCCCTCCCCCTGCCGCCTCCGTGCGCCATCCCACCGCCGCCGCCGTCGACGACGACCCTCCTCCCCTCCCTCTCCCTCCTGCCCGTCGGAGCTCGGCGCCCCCTCCCCCTTGTACTCTCTCCCTTGTGGCGGCGTCTGTGCCTGCGGCGGTGTCGGAGTCGGCGCCGGTTCACCCCTATTCTCACTCATCTCGTTGCGTAGTTCGACCCGGCGCTAGCCTTCCTCCCTCTTCAGATCTGGAGCAGCACCGGTGGTGACGGCGGCTAAGAAGGAGGTGTTACGGGCGGGACGAGTAGGACAGGCGGTGGGGAGTGGGACATGGGACGGGCAGATGGCCCGGTGCCTCCTCCCCCTTCATATCCCCCTACCTTGGCGGCAGAGCCGGCGTCGGTGCTCCCTTCCCCTTTCTTCTCCCGCATCCTGGCCGCCTGCTCCTCCTCCCGTCCTCACCTCTCCACAACGCCGCCCTCCCCCTGCGTCTCCTCCAACTCCTGCCGCTCCGCCTCCCTCGCACACGGCTCCTCTTTCTCCTTTCGAGTCTACGTCAACCACCCGCTCCTCCCCTTTCCATTCTTGTCGTTGTAGCCCCGTGGCTGGCGCCACTTCTCCCTCTGGATCCGGCGGCATCCCCTTCGCCATCTACCCATCCCTCCTCCCCACCGCACACCCTTTTCCCCTTTCATCCAACACTAGGTCTCAGGCGGTGCCTTGATCCCTCCACGAGGTGGTGTGTTGGCGAACCTGCTCTACGTCGCCGTGTCTTCTTGAGCCTTCAACGAGGAGGACACAAATCCATGGCACATCCATCAACGAGGGTCCGGTCCATCTTCTCCTCGTCGTCTCAGACTATCGACTGTACCTTGCCTCCCCTCAATCATTCTCCTTTCATCTCTCCCATGTCATCCTCTTCTCTAACCATGATTTGTTTGCTGTTTTTTTAGGGGATGACTGGTGCTGCAGCCATCCGAGGCACAACTGAAGAGAAAATTGTAGTCCGTGTGGATTGATGCCAATTGTATCGCTTGCCTCAAAGAGTAAGTGCATGCTCTTGTTGGCCTCAAAATTCTCTTTTGAAATTATGAATCTGGGAATGGGTTCATTTAAAAAAAAAGATGATTCTGGCAATGAATGCATTTTTTTTTACTAATTGATTTGTGTTTGCATCTTGGATTTAGAGACAGAATAACAAGGGATTTAAGGAGATAATAAAAAGGTAGAGATAGTTACCTCATGTATCTTTTTTTTTCTCGATAATAGAAATGTTCGATTGTGTCTGGTGTGCCAGGACCTCTGTTTATCTTGGATAAAGTAAAGGTATGTGTTAGTATTATGGTACAAATTTTCAACTGACTAATATGGTACTCCTAGCAAGTTATACTGAACATTTCTTTCTTCATGTAACTATGTTCATGGCGCAAAGTACTAGGAAATTGTAAACATCCGATTGGGAGATGGAACCACTCGGTGTGGCCAAATTCTGGAAGTTGATGGTGAAAGAGGCTGTTGTGCAGGTCATCACTTCTCTATTCTTATGAAAATATTGTTTTCTTGGGATTGTATTTTGATTTGCATTAACCCTATGGTTGTTGCATTATTCAGAACACTTGAAGTTTTATTATTGGGTTACTTGATTTTCAGGTCTTTGAAGACACTTCAGGAGTGGACAACAAATACACCATTGTGCAATTCACAGGTGGTTTATGTGGTTTGAACGTTAAGATTCTTTAGTAGGAACCAACACGTTGATTATAGATCCCATTCAGGAGCCGCCCGTTCTTAAGTTACCCACAATGATCAATTTAGTGCTTACAAAGCTATCTATCTCTCAATATCGAAATCTTCGCGGATTCTCATGCAAATAGACCCTCCACGTAGCGTCATACGAATCCAGAGTTAGACCCCCTCCTATAGCCGTCGGATCGCAGATGTACAGTGACGGATCTCTGTGGTGGACCTCGTTGTAATATAGAAGATTTTAGGTGCATTTTTTTGCAAAAAAAAAGTCAGGCCCTTCTCTCCCCTTCGCCACCACTCTATTCCTCCACCTTCGACCCCCTCTTATCCGCCACCTCGCCGCTCTCCCCTCCGACCTGCGCCGACGTCACCGCCGCCTCCTTGTTATTCGACCCGCCGTCCTACGCCGACGTCGCCGCCTCTTCCTCCCGCTGCTCCGCCTCCGGCGCCCGAGGCCGAGCCTCCCACGCGTTGGCGCGCCGTTCAGTCCTCTGTCCTCTGATCCCCTCCTCGTCGCTATATGTGAAGAGGAGCTCGGTGTCAGCGACGAGCTCCGGTGAGGACGCTGCCTCTCCCCTCAAGCTTGGCGGCGGCATGGCAAAGGGGCTCCTCGAGCGGTGGCGGTGCAGATCCTCGCCAGATAGGGCAACGAGCTCGGTTGCTGTGCGCGGGGATGGGGGAGGAGAAAATTCACATCCATCGCCGTGCCCGTCTACCCAGCCGCCTTTTGATTCGCCGGCCGCCTCAGACGGAGGCCGTTCGCCGTGCAGCAAAGGGCGTAGTGCCGAGGACCACGCTATGGCAGCCGCCGTTGGACGCCGCGATGTAGGAGTTCCCTCACATGGTCCCCTACGTGTTCACGCCACATGTGATTAATTTCCACCGATAATTAAGAAAAAAAGGATTTTCTTTTGCTCTTGGTGGTTTTTGCGTGATACACGATGCTACTGAATATTGATAAGATTGGCTCCAAGGAATGGATTGGTTGTCAAAATTAATTGTCACACTCACATGTTTTGTCTTGGTCTGAAATCTGATGAGTTGGCCATTCTTGACATGCAGTACAAGGGTGGTGCAGCTGAGGGTGGCAGAAGACCAATCATCTGGAACATCTTTGAACAACGAAGCACGCCCGCCCCGTGTGCGTCTTTCACGACATGCTCTGGTCCCGGGTTTCTTCCTGTGGTCTTCTAGCGTTAGAAGAAGTCGTGTCCGTCCCGGACATCTGCAACGTCCTCTCACGCCTTTTTTTGGGGGGACAAACAAAGATCAGGAAAAGACGGACCGAACCCATTCGGTGACTTTCGCGGTTGCCCTCACTGAACCGACTTGGATCTGAACTACGATTCAGATCAAGTCTTACCGAAATTGGATTTCCTTTTCGTGCCATATGTCGCTTAGACTTTACTTTTTCCCCTTTCTGTCCTTTCCTCTATTTGTTCGATAGGGTCTTCAATCTGGACCCAGGCATGTTAATTACATCTCTGTTTGGCTCTGCCTTCTAGCTGTGCTATACTTTCAACACAAATCAAGTTCAATTAGGTGTATTTCATATATATCTACAAGCATAAAATTTGTCCTATTTAGTAACCAGAACCAGGTCAACGATGTAAATGCAAAAAATAATAAGCTGAATACACAAAGACACAAATGATATCATAGAAGTATCGGAAAAAACATGTATATATGTCTATTATTGTCTGAAATATGACAAATAGTCTATTATATGATTATCCTTGTTGGTGAGTTTTTTATGCAACTAGAGCAGCCTATCTTTTGTCAATGGTCATAGCTTTGTTGTAAGAAAGATTATACTCTTTGGTTCTTCCTATGATAGCCCAGAGAGTATCTTGACCTGCCAAGTTTATGTCATCAAACTAATTTAGTTCAGTATAGGTCCTATCAGTTAAAGCTACTCGCAGGCATTATTCCTGTTGTTGTCAGTTCACTTGTATAGTTATAGCTTTGACCTAGCTTTGACCTATCCAACTAGCTTTGACCTAGTTGGATAGGTTAAGAAATAGAATATTGGCAATACAATATATCATGCAATTTTCTAAACATAGCTTCACAAAAATATGGTTCATTTTATTCCTCACAGAAGAAAAGTGTTCTTCATTTTACAGTGAATATTCCTTGAGGCATTGAAGTTAGTTGTTATTGTGCCAATGTTGAAATGTTCAGTATATTTGGTGAATTGATGCTCTATTTCTTTGCAAACCATGATTTCTGAATTCTTCTCAGTTGCTACTTTGGTCATGACAGGTTAAATGTGTTATAGGAGTACTTCAGCTTTTACTGTTTCATGAGTTCAAAATATAAATTGATCTTTGAGGAATGAAAAGCAAATGTTCTCTTCAGCTATCTTTTCTGAAGTTCAAATGTGTCCTTTGATTGAATTAATCTTCTGTAACATTTTGAAACCTCCAGACTAGCATCATCATCTCTCAATACTATCGACATTAATTCAGTATCCATTTTATTAATCCAGTTTCACATTTTACTTTGATGTTCTTAATAATCTTCAGCGGAAAGAGATGTTCTACAGCTCTGCACTTTATCTCTGCCTGTTAGTAGCACTCTGAAGAACAGCCTAAGCTTATCACCCATCATTTCCTCTCTCTCCTTTTCTACTGTCTTCATTGATGCTGCTATATTGAAATTGCATTTTGATATTGGTTCTTTGACAACTGTGGAGCAGCTTGCCAAGACAAAGGCAGCTCATCTGCTGAAGTATCCTGATGCGAAGATACTGTGGATCGGTTGCCCTACATATCTTTGCATTGTTGCTCTTAATATAACAAACGCCAGTCGTGTAGCTTCAGATTATTTATATTGCAGTATATCAAGAACATAGCTATACGATGTTTGGTTAGAGATATCAACTAGCTTTATGATAAGCAGCTTTCAATCCATTTGTCATAGATGGGCTAGCAGGCAGCCAGTCACTGTGTCTGTGCACATACACAAAGTGAGAACATTGAGATTCTTAGCTCAAATGCAAAGAATCTGATATTGTCCTCCTCTTATCCACATGATAAAAGCTAGAGCTAAAGTGTACTAATTCAAGTCAAAGGTCACATTGACTGTGAAGTGAAATAATATACATGTTTGTAACCAGGAAAAATAGTATGGACAAGACCAAGTAAAGACGAGAAATTATTTCCCTCTGTTTGGAACTCGTCTTGCTTTGATCCAAGCTCCATATACTTTATCTTGACACACCAAATATAACCTCAATTTGTCACCTTTCCTCCTCCTCTCTTAGTCTTAAAAAGAGCGAAAACTTAGCTTTACACTGCACTGCAACCATGTTACACATATATATGCATGTATATAACTTTAGGTTCACAGATAGCGTTACCACATCAACCGAAAAAAAAATATTTCTTTCAATATTTGGTTAACAACTTCTTATAAAAGAAAACACTAGTATCAGCAAAGAACATGGATCATGTGATCTGATCATCTGAGTAACTGATACAATTATCTTGATGTAGTATTTGCTAAAAAAACATTAGGTATGCATAATCAAGAAGCATCGTCTGACTTTTGCCCCCCCTTTTTTTTCATAGATTTGCTCTTTCATTGTGAGACTAATGGTATATCAAGTCCTACCGTTTTACTTTATTTTTCTCTCATTTTGCTTTGTCTGTGAACATAACAATATATCAAGTTATAACTGCTTTACTCAATTTGTTTTCTAGAAAAAGTTCGTTTATTTACTGTGAGCATCGAGACATAAAGATTATGCATCTACATGGCAGGCTGTATCAGGGGTGCTGCAAGAAAATATTTTGAGGGAACGTTACTACGAACATATCATGTACACTAAAGTCCGTATCAATGCATACAATTGCTATGCCGTTATGATGTGCACTCTATATCAGGAATGGATTTATTTTGATCCCAAAATGGACGCTAAGATTGCTGAGATGAATCCGATGAATGAGAATGAGGTTGATTGGGCTATGGTTTATTGGTTTTATCAAAGTTGGTACGACAAGATATGGTGCAATTCTTCTATGTGCCTCAACGATGACTTGTATAGTTATACTTATTGTCTTTTGTTATAAGCTTTTTTTTTTTTAAAATGGAAGCATCATACACATGTGAGCTGTGTAATTTAATATTTTCAAACATTTTAATGAACATCAGATATTGGAGTATTTTCGGAAACGAAATGCATTACCATGTAACTGTGTATGCACATAATTTCCTGATTTAAGGCCACTCTGCAAGAACACTAGGCCAATCACTGTGAGGGCGCGGCAAAGCTGCGCCAAGTTTTCTAGTTTGAGCTGAAAGAAATGCTCAAGTTATAACTCAACTTCCTATATTTCATTTTGCTATTTCTGCTGTAAAACTGCTGGATGCTACTATGTACTAAAATTAGTCTCATCACCAGGAGTTTCAAAGAACACAAGTAGCCCCTGTGACGTTTATCGTCTCAATTTGTTTTCCTTATACAAGGGACGAGGAAATTACTGCTATTTGTAGTAGGTAACAATTGTGTATGACCATATCCTATTTCCCGAGCTAGAAGAACTTATTTCTATATGAATTATCCTGCTTTTCCCCTTTAACAAATAAGCAATAAGCTCTGTGCATTTTATCCTATTGAGAGAAAACAGCTGCCTGAATCCAGTGTAGTTGCCTGAACTTTTGCAGTGGCACAGGTATTTAGTTTGATCATAGTCCATACCGCTTTGTCTCTTGCTTCTTTGTTTTTAGCCCTTATAAATATCACAGTTGGATGCTTAGGTTGAGGTGTCAGATATCAAATTGCCAACTTGTGAAGCTCTCTTATATGCTTGACAAAAGTTAACTCTTAGGCCATCCACAACAAAGAAATAAACATACAAACCCTTTGGTTGGCAAAAGTCACGTGTGTGTATGAGAACTTAACCCCAACGTCATACGAGACCCTCCATTGACCAGCAAGTGTATATTCAGCAAGTCCTAATGACATCCTACTCACTAGTAGTGATGTTGATTGGAGACGAAAAAGTTTTGTCCTCGAATTTCGATATGAAAGATCTTAGTAAAGTCTCATTTGTTCTAGGAATAGAGATTCACCGAGATAGAAGAAAAGGGGTTAGGATTATCGCAAAAGGCATGTCTATGCATGCAAGTAAGCCTACATCTGCTCCCATAGTCAAGGGCGATAGTTTTGGGAAATTTCAATGTCCCAGGAACCAGTATGAGTTCGATCAAAAGAAAGCGGTTCCATATGCTTCAGCTGTCGGAAGCTTACAGTATGCTCAAGTATGTATGTGCCCTGACTTAGCATTTGTTACCGGGATACTTAGCAGATATAAAGGAAATTCAGGATTAGGTCACTGAAGAATGGTAAAGAAAGCTTGTGCAAGGCACAAAAGGCCTCATGCTAACGTACAGAAGATCTGATTCCCTAGAGATAGAAGGGTATTCAGATGCAGATTTTGCAGGAGATGTAGATGATAAAAAGTTCACATCATGCTACATATTCACTCTCGCAAAAGGGGCTATTTCGTGGAAAAGCTCCAAGCAAACCGTCGTAGCATCATCGACGATGTATGCCGAGTTTGTAGCTAGTTATGAGGCCACGGGGCAGGCAAAAAATGGTTAAAGAAGTTTGTTCCCGAGTTGAAAGTGGTCGACAGCATTCAAAGGCCATTCAAGATGTACTCACAACAATAAGTCAAGTGGTGCTGCCAAACACATTGACAGTAAGTTTTATGTTGTGAAAGTGAAAATCCAGGATCAGACAATTAGTCTCGAGCATATAAGAACAAAGGAAATGTTAGCAGATCTGCATGCAAAAGGCTTACCGCCCAGTGTGTTCAGAGAACACTTGGCAGGCATGGGTTTTTACAGGAAAGCCTATTATCCTTGGATTACAAAAGAAAGGGCCTAGTGTTTATTTCGAGATGGAGAGGTGCATTGTAGTCGTTGCGTCTGATGGTTCAATGGTGACTGTCATGATGAAGCGTACTCTATGCGTCAATCCATTGAGAAGTAAATGTTGAGTAAGAGAAGTAAGAAAGGCGGAGATCGAATGGGAGAATATTAGTTGCGATCCTGGGGGGAATCGGGAAAACGATTCCCCACTCCGCCTACGCTCCCTGATCGGGGGCGCCAGCCGATCTATTGGCAGTGGGCCCCTCTCACGCAGCGCTAATATATAAAGAGAGGGAGCTGGCGGGCGCGCGAACCAAGGTTGGTCGCCGCACACACGGACTCCCCACAAACCCTAGAAGTCCCTCCGATCTGGGAAGCGCTGAAGTGAGGGGAAGCCCGCCGCCGGGTGTCGCCACCACCATCACTGACACCGACACCGTCGTCCTCACCGACGCCCTCACATCACCGCACCATCGCCATGGCTGTGTCAAGCTCTAAGACCGGCAAAGGTATGGGTTCTCTCTCTCTCTTTCTCTACCGTTCACTCTCCAAGGCAATCACCCATTATTCCTATAAGCTAGAGTTGAACCCCTAGATCTCACATAGCAATCCTAAGAATCTAACACATGCCTCAGTCAGATTTGAGTGGTAGCAGAGGAGCGCCGGCGAGCTCCATCTCTCCCCGGTGGCTGCCATCCTCGGCGCCG